ATTTTAAGGATGATACAGCAACCTTGACAAGATCAGCCCCTCGGCCAGTGATAGATGGGAGACCTTAAAAAAAGACAAGAGATACTCCCAAGAAAATAAAGGAAAATATATTTTTTAAACAAATTGTTTTGGAATCTGCATGGGAAATTCAGTAATTCATGGGTTAAATGTCACATCACTTCATAGTCGATCTTCATTACAGATAAACTACATTTTATTAAAAGACAAGTTATTGGGCTATAAAGCCTTTCAGCGGAGTCTGAGCATATCAAACTTCTTTTCTTTTGTCTTGACTGCTGCAATTTACCTTTTATTGCAACAAAAGTCAAAGACCTTGCTTTTAAATTAGTCTCTGTGGTATGAGAGGAAAAGATTTTAGGGTTAACAGCAATAGTAGTTGCCTTGTAAGAAGCCTATTTCAGACCCCAGCAGAGCGGGTAGTGAAGTGTGATAATGTTAGGGTGAAAATAATGCATTGCAGGTAAATGCAGTATATATGCCAATTTGCGCCTATTACAAAGCTGAACTGTCAGTAGCCAATTTGTTTCAACCGAAAAAATATGTTCACCAAAGAAGAACAAGGGATTGCTTCAACATTGCAACACGCTTATAATTTCAGATGTAAAGAAAAGTGTTTCATGCATGCTCACGGTATGTTTTATCACAAAGGAGAAAGGAGGTTACACAGTGGCTGCTCGTGATGCATGAGCATCTTCATTCATATGTGGTACTTGTCTCTGCTAAGCAGAAATGAGACTTTTTTTTAACATAGTTGTTCTTTGCTGAAGAATTCATGGAGACACATATTCAACTAGTAATCATTTTTATTTTTCTGTGAAATTTAATTCATGCTAATATTTAAAATTATAATTTTTTAAAAATTTGGTTTTTTTACTTTAACCAAATGATACACTAGCTGCATTAGTATACAAAACCTTTACCGCAATAAATCAGACTAATGTCATATTAGAGGATGTCTCGTACCTATGCCAGACCTGTAGCAACTGATCTTTCCCTTCCTAATGACCATTTGCCCTTTTCTTAAAATTCATCATTAAAATGGCTAATTTCCAAAATCTGCTTTTTTTTGGTAACACATTTCAGGTTAGAGATTTGTTTACAACAAATAATTTGATATGGCTGTTTTTCATTACAAACAGTGCCAGTATTGTCACTCGCACGGATAGACGCCCTAAGACTTTGGATCTTGGCTGTACAATTGGATGAGAAACAAAGGGACCAGCATTGCAGTGTTGATGTTGCCGTAATTAGCAGTGCTGCTGTTCAGTTTGTAGACAAAGCCACTAACTGTAAAATGCTGAGCTCTGATACTAAAAGCTGTGTTTCAAAATATAATGCCAAACTTTTAACATCGCAAAATAGATAATTATATGATAAAATATGCTTTAAATAACATCTCTTAAGCTCGATTTCCTCAGTGTTGATGCATTTACAGTTCTTTCTTTGGCACTGTCGGGATGTAATTTGGGCCGACATACATTGTTGAGATGCTATTGTTTTATAATGTACTTCTGCAGAGGAAAAGAATGGAAAAAAAACACGCTGGATTCTTCAGTGATGATTGAAGGTGATCAATTTAAACCTGGGACAGTGCTAACGCATATTAGATAACGCTTCTCAAAACTTACTAAAATGTGAAACTAAATGATTAGTTTCACAGTGAAAGCTTATTTCATTAGTGAGTCCTTCAGTCTAGCTCTTGTCTGGTAACATTACGTGCAGAATGTTACATGTACAGTACATTATTTATTCATTTTTTGGACTCCAGATAGATGGAGTGTAACACTGGAACAAGAAATGTATTCCTTTTGGAGAAAGCTTTGATGAATGTGTGCTCTACATCTATCTTGCTTTGGCAAATGACAAACACAGTGCCCTCTGGGGGTTCATGCACCCCACCCCCATCTAAGCCCTGCATACTTACTATTTGGTGCAAAGCAACCACACTTTGCACTTATTGATTTCAGTGCCTGTTCATTAGTTTCACAGAGAACAGAAGCTACATTGGTAATCCATAACAGATAGAGCTAAAGTCACATGACAGATGCAGGCTATCATTCAAGCATTGGGGGATTCTTATCTTAACAAAAATCAGTAAGCAGTTTATTTACACTGTATTGGTATTGTGGTGTGCCACCATTTTCCATTTATGAATTTGCTGGTCTTTGTAATGCCACTACAGTGCCTTCAAAGGAAATATAAACAGCTAAGCTGCCTACACTTGCCCAGCACAACTTAACGCAGGAAACCGAACCTGGATCCTCCAAACCACAGCATATGTTTGCTTAATTTATAAATATGATACGGATCCTGATGAATGATCTAACCTTGTTTGACTGTAGTACTGCTTGAGGTTTTTTTTTCTTTTTAATTTGTTGAGACTGAAAATTAACAGTGCAGTTGCTTGTGTTTCCTGGTGATTTGTTAAGAGTAAAACGGATGAATTAATTTTAAATCAGTACATCCTTGCTCCAGAATTACCTCCCAAGTAAACAGTGCTACATAAATAGACGTCTAATATGAGGCTCTGGAGTCCAAGTAACTCAGTGCAGATCTGTAATATAATTGTTCATTTATTTTAAATGTGCATTCTTACTGGGCGTTGCTGTGTTCTATCAAATTGTATTTAAAATGCAATGTTTGTTGATAATGAAAACGTATTCATTTGATTTGTGACTGTTGACAATGTGGAATTTTCCCGAGTGCAGTTTGCATTGCCTGCTAATATATATCTTATTGCGTGAATTTTGTTCTATTTATTTTTTCATAATTTTATGACATTTTCACCCCTTCCTTCTCTTCTTGTACCATGTTGGTTTCCCTGACCAAGAGGGCTGGGAACTTGTTACTACCTATACCAAATCACTCCTATGCCCACTGTGTTTGTGGGTTGCCATGTTTCGCCCACCAAATACAGTCAGTACACTTTACAGTACATCCTGTGAAGCGCTTTGAGACGTCTCAAAGACCTGATAAGGCGCTATTCAAAAGCAAGGATTATTATTATGATCATTATTAATATATTGAGAGGAGAATGTATAAGCAGGGCATTAAGAGCTGCCAGGTGGTCACCTTTCATCTTTTCTTTCTTCCATATTAGGGAATCATTTCCTTGTATGTTTGCTTTTTGATGACTTTGGCCGGTTATGAATTATCCGTACGGGAAATTGGGGATTTGAAACCTGTCTGCTACCACTCCAAGAAACAGCTTGATGGAACACTAATGCATTGCACTAAAGAACAGGTTTTATCTTCTACTAGAGCACTTCAAGGTTTAAAGTTTTCTCTTACAGCTTGGTATCCGGATTGCATTTCAATTGACATCTGCAGTAAACAAGATTGGAAGACCGTGTTAAAGTGCAACTGTTTCATTTGATCACTTATGTTTTTCTGTAATGACATTTAGTTTCCTATTCTAAAATCTCAGTGATTCTGTCAGTTAACAAATGGAATAGAGCGGTAGATCTGGATTATAATGAACAAAAATGGTGTGAAAGAGTTTTAAACATGTGAATATTAGTGTTTAAAATTGCATTTAAACACTGACATAGTTAAAATTCCAGTATGCGGACATCTTCAATTTAATACTATATTGCCATTAGATCCTGATTCATGTAAAAATCCATTCCCATTTTCAAAGTCAATTTTTTACAACGAGCATTAACCTCCAACTAGGTATTGCACAGCATTTTAAAATGAAGCCACAGGCAGAATATTTATGCAGAGAACACAATGTAAATTCTTAAAATCAGTATTCTAAGAGAATTTAGGGGGGATTTTACTCCTATTGATAAAAGTACATGAATAGCAATAGGAACAAATTGGAGTTTTAGGGGCACAGAATTATAACGCATTTAGAAATTTCAATTTACCACTAATATTATTAGTGGCTAATAAGTTTCCAAATACATTGTTGAAAAAACAATTAACTCATTCATTTGATGCTGGAAATCAATTAAGCAGTGATATCTGCAATTTTCTGTTGACTGAGGCTTATCAAATAGTATTAAATAAAAACTATTTTAATCATAGTTTCAATACTTGTAAAGAATTGGATGCGATTACAGAATGCTGCAAACCTATTGCAAACACGGCTATATATGGAATACGTAATTCGTACCTACAGTAGGTGCTATTGTTTTATTACAGGAGCAAATGGTGATGAGCTGATGTGGCTTTGAGGGCCCCATTTAAGAAATTCAGTTGTGAGAGTACTCCACTCCTCAGTCTCTCAGGGTCAGGCATTTTCCACTGTAGCTAACTTCTCGTCAAGCACAACATGGATGAAATTTTGTAAGTGTGGAAATGTCTCCATTTCCTCTTCTTGGAGCCTTGTAACTCAGTAATTAAGAGCGCTCGCAGGCGAGAGACCTGGGTTCGATTCCCAGCGGGGTGAAATGTTGGTCAAGTTTCCTTACTCCAAATGCCTGTTTGCCTAGCAGTAGTAGGAACCCGGTTCTTAGTCGATTGGTGGATCGCTTTTCCAGGGGTAATAATTCCTTCAAAAAATAAAATAATTGGGTCACTTAATCCACGACTGTTTGTGGAACACTGCTATGCACAATTGGCTGCTGCGTTTTCACATAGTCAATTCACTTTACAGTATATTCTGTGAAGTGCTTTGAGACGTCTAGAAGACGTGATAATGCACTATATCAAATGCAAGGATTATTATTAAAGCCCATTTTCAGTGTATTCCTCTACTGCTTCATTGTGCAGTTGTTTCCTTATATGTGCTCATATGAAGCCAGTTAGGAGCTTCTTATGACTTCTTACTACTTACATCTTGCAAACCATGGGTAGTCTTGCATGCTCGGGTGGAAATGCTGGTTTATGTTTGATAATCGGGTGGACTTACAATGAGGTTTACAATTATTACACCTTGTTAATGGCCCTAATGTTCAACATGAGGATACCCCCTCCTCCCCATGTAATTTTATTTGATGTAACCTTAAAAAGTATAAACTAAAGAGACTTAATCTTGGAAAACACACTGGGAAGTTTATTTCAGGTTACTGAAGATAAATTACAAAAATCTCCCTCACAAGAATAATTGATGTAAAGTGTTAATGGATACCCTCACAAGAATAATTGATATAAAGTGTTAATGGTTATCAAACTAAATATACAAATAATGTAATATCTAACAAACAACATATGCAATTATAACAAAGCTAAAGGAGGCAGTAACTGTAGGTGTAAACATATGCATTGTAAACCACATTCTTATTTATGAAGTAGTTTATTTCTTTTCACATAATTCTTAGCAGAAGGCGGTCTCTGTACAGCCCAGGGTGCCATTTCAATCAGGAAGAAGCGAGGCGGATGCACTTCACTGATGTTAGCCAGGAGATCCTGTAAGAGAGTGTTTGCTAAGTAGCATCAGTTTCAATATATACTCGGATGAGTCCACTTACAGACTGATTGAAAATAAGTCATCCTTTTTTAAAAAAAAGTCACCCACTGTGTGTTTGCTATAAATACTGTAAAACTACAAAGGGATTGCATCAGAAAGAGAATATTGTCTCTTGTGCAGTCCATAAACTGTGAAATCAATGGTGAATAGCAGATGCATTCTGTAAAGAATACCCTACCCACTGCCACCAACTTTATTTTGAACAAATTTTACCAAGGAATATTTGGAAATAGGTTTACATCTGTGACTCTCCACAGAATGCATTGTAATAATCCTTACATTATTGTTACATTTGATATAGTGACATTACAACATCACAAAGCATTTCACAATAGTTTTTTTGTAAAGTGCAATGAGGTGAATGTTGGTAATTTGTAGGAAGCTAATTTGTACGCAATGTCCCATACACAGCCATAATGTAACTAAAACATTCATGCAGGATATGCTGAATCTCTTAAAAATTAAAGAAGTGTTATCCCTACAATGTGTTTTTTTACCATGAATTATCCAGTTACAAAAATTCTATTGAAAGATTAGCACATATTTGAACTGCAATGGACTTAAAAAGAAAGGCGGTGCTTCATCAGTTACTAAGAGAACAAATAATGAAACACAAGGGTGACATTATTGTTAAGAGAAAAAAATTATCAAGTGTTTCATTCATATAAATCCTACTCTGTGGCCGCCTCAGAGGAAAATGGCAACAGATGAGTTGTGGAAGGCAAGTAACAACAACTTGCACTTATATAACGCTCTCCATAATAATAATAATCCTTGCATTCGATATAGCGCTTTTCACAGAACACACTGTAAAGTGAATTGACTGTATATTTGTGGGCGAACGCGGCAGCCAATTGCGCACAGCAATGTCCCACAAACAGTCGTGGATTGAAAATGACCAATTTATTATTGTTTTTGGTTTTGGAGGGATTATTATTAGGCTCTGTGTGGAGTAAGGAAACTTGCCCAAGGTTTCGCCCTGCCTGGGATTGAACTCAGGTCTCTCGCTTGCAAAGCGAGTGCTCTAACCGCTGAGCTACAGGCCTCCCCAAGTCAGCGGTAAAAGCCCAGTTGGGAGGGCCAAATCAGCGGCGCTGCGTTCGATTTAGATTTTTTTGGGGGGGTCGAATCAGGGAAGGTGTGGGACCTATTAAAAAGCAGATCATTTGGACCAGAGAGACGACCAGTGGGTCACTTGGGCCACATGTTGCGGGCAGAGCGTGTTTGTGGCTGAGCTCTGATTGGCCAGGCCCGTCACCCTGGCAACAGCCAGACGATGGGGGATTTTTTTTCTCTCCTCTCCCCCCCCCCCACCTCCCCTCTCGTTTGGCGCATGCGCGAGCCGTGATGATGGGGTGTCTCGTCTGGGCGGCAAAATGGAGGGCGCGCGGGGGGGGCGTCACGTGACGCGACCTTGGGTTTCGGTTGTGAGCGACGCTTCAGGCGGCGATGATGTGAGGAGAGAAATGAGACAGAGAGAAAAAAAGGAGGGGGTGGCGCGGGGGTACAGGGGTACAGGAGAGAGTTTGTTTGTTTGTTTATTTATTGAAATACGCTGTTCATTCTCCACTTCGGGTTTTATTCGTGGGTTTCTTTTTTTTTCTCGGTCGGGGATGTCCGTGTCTGTGTGTGTGTGTGTGTGTGAGAGAGAGGGAGGGAGGGAGTGGGAGATTATTATTACGCATTTTAAAAAAAAACCCATTCACAAACCAAACAAAATAAAACCAAACAAAACGTTCAGGTTTCGCTCGACTTACCGCTTAAAAACAAGACAGCCCGCGAGCGCGGACCGACAAGTGCGGAGCGAGGCCCTGAATCCCGGCGAAATGAAAAAAAAACTCGCGGTCGGTGGCGGTTATTGTCGTTGGCAGCTTCTTCCTGATTTGTTTTGCTCCGCGCCGAGACCCACGTGACAAAGCGCCCTCCCCCCCCGCCCGGGTCGAAGCGATTGGGTCGGTCGGTTACGGTTGCTATAGCCACAAGGCGGGGGGGGGGGGTGAGTGGAGGAGGAGGAAAGAAAGGAGGCGGGGCCGTGGCGGGTCGCAATCACGTGGCCAGCCAGCGCGAGCGGAGAGACCGTGTCGGGCTGCGGGCGGTCACGTGGTTTAGCCAGCGCGGGCGGGCGCACGCACCCGGGGGGGAGGGTTGGCGGGAGGGGAGGTCAGAGGTCGTTTCCTCAGTCAGATTAGCCATCTCCTGTCAGTTACAACAAAATGGCTGCTCGTGCACCGTTATCAACAGCCCAGTGACCGGGGGGAAGAAAACAACTTTTTTTTTCTTTCCTTTTTTTTCTTCTTTTTTTCCCCCCCCCTCAGCAGCAGCCTCTTCACCCCCCCCCCCCCCCCACCACGATCCGCACACTTCAGTCCTTCCCCGAACCCCCCCCACCCCTTCCACCTTACCCCCAACCCCCCCCCCCCACTCCCTCCCTCCCTCCCTGGACTTTCCCCACCGCTGCACCGATGTCATTGGCCTCCGCCGCCGCCGGATATTTTCTTATGATTTGCACTTTAAATTGATGAGGTGTGTGTGTGTGTGTGTGTAGTAAGTTAACGGGGGGAGGGAAGGGGGGCGCGAAGCGAGAGATTCCCTCCACATACTCTCCCCCCCCCCCGCCACCCCCATCCCTGTCTTTCTCAACCCACCACCTTTGCGGGAAGGAGAGAGAGAGAGAGAGAGCGGTTGTTTCTCAGCGCGGTGCGGTTGCTATGCTCGGGCTGTCGTGTCCGTCTTGTGTTGCGCTGGTGCGGTGCGTTGCGGTGCGTTGCGGTGTGTTGTCTGACGGGCTGCTGGTGGCTCTGAGGCGAACGGGCAGTGCTGGCGGCGCGGCTCCGTCTCTCTCTCTCTCTCTCCCTCTCTCTCTCCATCTACCCCCCTCCCTCCCTCCCTCCGTTTGTTTGTGTACAACTCGCATCTGTGTCCCGTCCGTTCGTTCGTTCGCCCCCCGGAGTATTCGCCTCTGCAACCACCAACGCTTCCGTTGTACGCCTTTTTTCAGCGACTTCTGCTCTTGGAACGATCTATCGTTATTGATGGGCATTTAAAGGTTTTTTTTTTCTCCTTCTCTCCCCCCCCCCCCCCCACCCCCTTCCCTCCCCTCCCACCCACCTCCTTCTACTCCTCCTCCTGCCCTCCTCCCTCCCTCCCCCCCCCCGCCTTTTTTTTTCTCCTTCCTTCGATCATTTTCAGAGAATCTGAATTTAAAGCCGCAAAAGAGCCTCAGGAAGAAATTAAAAGGTAAAGTGGCGGCGGCGGCGGTGGTGGTGGTGGTGGTGGGATTGCGCATTTTCTCTTTGGTTCGCGTTGCGGGAGTGGGGGCTGGCGATTAGATGCATCTGCAGGTGAATACAGTCCAGTACAGTGTGTGCTCGGATGGGCTGATTTGTAGCCGAGGGTTTCTTTTTAAAACAGCTGTCAGCGCCGAGAGAGAGAGAAATCGGCGTGAAACGCCTGGGTTTGAAAAGAGAGGTCAGAGCCGGGGGTACGTTCTGCTTCGGCACTGTGTGTGTGAGGGGTGGGTGTGTGGGGGGTTTGGACGAAGTGCCGGAGAAAATGTATTTTCTTCTCTTCGTGGTCACAAAAAAAAAGGCTAATAAACCGCGAAGTGTTTGTTGGTCGTGTTTGGAAACATAAAAGCACCGCAGTGTGGAATTACAGTGCACGACATTTCTGCAGCGTCTGTTCACAGCGTTGGATACTGCAGTGGTGATTTTGTTTGGGGTGGTGGGGTGGGGGGGGGGGGGGGGCAGGCGGGATTGTTGGGGGGTTTTCGTCTCTCTTTATTCCCCTGAAATACCACTGTTTCGCATCTCTGAGGTCGGAGACGTATATAGATTGTTGTTGGCCTAGAAGTAGTCAGTGCCTGATTATTTTGCTTGGTGCTGGGCTGCAGTGTTGACTAACCTCTGTTGCAGTTCTGAAGCGTTGGCATTTTTTGGATCGCTGCCCACGTTGTCTCGCTCTGCACACAGCCCCTTTACTGTACTTCATCATCTTGATGGCTTGGGAGGTGGAATGTGCCTTTGATAAACAGCTGCGGTCTAGTAGCCGGTTCCATTTCTGAATATGTAATTTTTCCTTCAGATAAAACGGAATAATTGATTTTTAATTGTACAGTACACCCCTTAAATCTTTTTAAGGAGTAAATGATTGGTAGTTTCAGAATTTTTTTTTCATCCAGTGAACCCTATCTCACGCAAAATGCATGGCAGAATGACTATGTATTGTGTGTAGGTGAAACAAATATTTTTAGTACATGGATCACCAGAATGCAATGTTCAGTTATCGTGTTAATGCCTCTGTTTTTACATATAACTGAATTATTATGGCTTATGGTAGAATCAGTATTTATGTATAATTCTTTCCACCAATCATTTTGGCATATATTACTTTTATTTATGTAATGGATAGACACTAAGTGCATAGTATAACAATTCTGCAAGTCTCTATTCGAATATTGTGATGAAAACATCTTTATTGGACAATATTTAAATGCCTTGTTTTGCTGCTTATTTTGAAAACTAATCTAGTTGTAGAAAATATGGCAGATGTTTTATGAATTATGCCATAATGCTTGATAGGCTAATAACTGTATTACTTCTGTAATCGAAGCCGCTCTCATTTTTGCAGGATTATAGTAAATAATTAGAATATTTTAAGGAAATTTGTCTGTTGATTCTTTCACCGTTATTTAATGTATTTAGCAGAGAGTGGCAAAGCTATTTAAAGGTATAGTAGTCAACAGGAGCAAGACAAAGTATGACAGTTGAAGAAAGTCATTTTGTGGCTAGGCTTTCACTGCAGTTGACAGGAACTTATCTAGATCCTTTTTGAAACCTTTTGAAGTTTCTTGTTCTACCACCTGTGCTGATCATCTATTATGTCCATCACATTTTACTTAAAGTGCTGTATTTCCTATTCTTGATTGTCTTCATTTTGAAGTTACAGTATGTATTTTTAAATTTAGTGAGTTGGCCAGGATTACTAATTTGGTATCACCTATTGAAAGCCAAGATCTTTGAAGAGGATAATTTAATGTTTAATGTTAATTTAATGTTCTGTGAAACGCTTTTCACGTCTTCTAGATGTCTCAAAGCGCTTCACAGAATATGCTGTAAAGTGAATTGACCATATATTTGTAGGCAAAACGCGGCAGCCAATTGCGCACAGCAGTGTCCCACAAACAGTCGTGGATTGATAATGACCAATTTATTATTGTTTTGTTTTTCCAGCGCCTTGGAATGTCCATGTTGTTGTTATAATGTTGGACTGTATTTTGGTCAAAGCTAGGCGTAGTTTAGCACCAGATTAAGACTGGTCTGATTAGGACCAGATTGGGAAGGTCAGTCAGTTTATAGAATAGATTATAGTGAGATCAGATGTAGTAATACATTAAGCATTGTGGAATGCCCACTGGTTACTGAAGCGAACTGGCAAACCAGTCACCCAGGCACACATGCACATTGGATCGAAATGTGTCTATCTGTCTTTAAGGCCACCTTAAAACCTACCAGTGTGTCATCCCAACTTGGTTGGTAAGGTTCAAGCTCCACGTTGGGAGTTGGAACACATATAGTCTCTGCTTTAATAATAATAATCCTTGCATTTATTATTTTTACACTCCAGTGTAGTGCTGGGAGTGTGCTGTTTCTTTGGAGGTGCTGAGATATGAAACTGAGGTCCACTATACCTGTCCAGTGGATGTTAAAGATTCCATGTCACTATTCGAAAAGAGAAGGGGGTTTATCCCAAGGTCTTGGCCAATAGTCCCCCAAAATAAAATTGGTCATGCACACAATGACTGATTGTGGGATACTGTGGTGTGTAAATTGGCTGTTGCGTTCGCATACAAAAAACATACTTTCATATCACTTTACAGTACATCCTGCGAAACTCTTTGAGATATCAAATGCAAGGATTATTATACTTCGACCTCTCCTAAGGTGACCTCTCCATTTCACCCCCCCCCCCCCCACCTTTTGCTAAGTCCGACCCCCTCCGACACATTACCATGATAAGTGCATATTGTTGCTGTCGGTATGTTTGTTTTAGAGCTCTTACCTAGGAATGGACTTATTTATTGACTGCCTGCCACCTGCATCCCCCTCTCCCACCATATTTGAAGGGAAGCTGATGTCAAATGAAGTATCCTCATGGAGAACATTCAACATGTTCATTGTGTGGTATTGGGCAATGTTGACAGATGTTTTCATAGTTTTAAGACAGTTTAACTGAGGTTTGTTGGTTTGAGAATGAAGCAGAGCAAAGGCTGTGACGAGCATTTTAAGATTAATCCGGATTCTGATGGTATTCCATGTGGTACACAAAAAAACTGTTAATATTGTCTGATAAAACACAAGAACTTTGGAGTTTGGTTAACATTCTTTCTTCATCATTTTCACCAATTTTAAATTCTAGCCCTTTGATGAGTGATAACTTAATGTTCTGACAAACCATTCTTTGTTTGAAATTGTGAACGTAACCAACAACATCAACAGCAAAATTACATTTGTGTATAGCCTTTCGCGTAAATCCCAAAGCGCTGGACAGTCAGTGTTTCAGACCTGAGCTGGGAATTGGGAAGGGTGGAGGGCAGGTGGAGAAAGCAGGGCGATCGAAAGCACGGTCAAAGAGGAGGGAGTTAAACTCCATTGGCTGGAGTTTAACCAGCAATTAAATGGCAGTAAATTGTAAAGCATATGCATTGTAGATACTAAGTTTTGACTAAGATTTATATAATAATTTATAAAGTTCTGATGTCTTGAAGATCAGAGGAAAGCTTACCCTTACCCTTATCAGAAATTCGCCAATGTCAAGTTTAACACTTGCATGCATATTTGTTTTTATATGAGCAGATTTGTTTTTTATTCCACTAAATGCAACTATCTTTTTATTTACTCACCACATAGTTGATCCTATTGTGTAATATCTGAAATGACTATATCAAATCATTCTGGTGCATTGCATTGCCAGCTAAATTGAAGTATTAATAGTATGCTGAATAGTTAAAATATCATTCAAGCAGAAAACTGGAAGGGAAATACAAATGTTAAAAAAAATTGTCTGCAGTATTTTGTGATTTTGATTTATCGGTATGAAACGTATTTAACTGATTGAAATAGATACTTGGGAGTTATTAGTAGTCAACTGCCACAGATTCAATAATGTCTGCCAAAATGTTGAGGATATGCCTTACCAAACTTGATTTAGTGGTGTCCCTGCCAATGTGGAAAATGTGCATTACTGGGGAAAAGATTATGGGCTCAACTTGTTTCTTTCACATTATGATTTTCATAATTCATATCCCAAATAGGTTGTAGGCATAAATACCATATGATGTTACAATAACTACTCTTAATGTTAATGCGGTAGCATTTAATAAACTTAGAAAGATAACTGGTAATGCTATTGCTAATAAGGTATCAGATGCAAAAGAAATAATATTTCTTGAAGTCAAATAAGGAAGAATTTTACAAAGATAAAAAGAGAAATAGTTTTAAAAAACTTACTTCTCCTCGAGTGTTTCACTTAAGGAATCTGATCCTTTGTTGGTAAAGAGAAGTTATTTTTGTACAACTGAGAACATATTGGCAATTCCATTAAAGTCTTCAATGTTATGATGGCAGTAGCACAGCTTCACTAGAAGGTAATGTATTTACCCTGTAGGGCTTTTTATAATATCTTTCATATACAGAATACACAGCGGGATACCAAGTATATTACTCTCAGGAAGACCAATACACAGAAATTCATGAGTTATCAGGTTTTCACTTATGTAATTAACTTCGTATTCTACTTTTCCCCACCATGATATTTAACTATTTACAGTACTCAATATTCATGGAGGGAAGAGATTACAGCTATAATCTATTTCTACTGCAGATGGTTACACACAGATGAGGGAAAGAAGTAGTAAAGTTGTTTATAGTCTAGATTGAAAGAATTGGAGAGACAGCTGGAATTTTACTATAGCATGTGTAAAATTAACGAATTCAAAAATGTATTCAACAGATTGAATTTTATCTACTTGCTGTTTGGAGTTAATGGAGCATTTATCCATCTCCATGAAGCTGGTCCGGTATTAACACTCGGTAAACTCCAGTGGTCAGTGATTTCTGGTTTAAAAATGAAAAGCTGAATTTTGAAGTGGTGTAATTCGAGGTGATCTATTGTTCGGAATCAGCTGCAGTGAACTTATTCTAGTTCATTTTTCTACTCCAAATTCTAGTTATCCCTGG